CAAGACTTCAAAACGGGGTGAAAATAGATATTTTCTCTTCTTAAAACTTAAAATAACGGTTTTCCAAATTAAGTCACGATTTTAAGGTAGCACCCCGAATCAGTTTTCGCAAAGTAAAAAGGCTTTATTTTTAAAATAACTTTGCGAATTTTTCGCACTCTGATTTAACGATAAGGAGGGGTGTTACACCATCTTTTTTAAAATTTAAATGGTAATATTATTATTATGGATATATTTACCAAAATCTTAAACACTTTGGAAACTTTTTGAAAACAAATTTAAATTATCCTGTCATTTACACTATTTGAAATTCAAAATTATATTTTTAAATATATTAATAGATATTTATTATTTTTTTTTTCCTTATGTAAAAAATTAATGAATTGTTTATTGATTTTCCTATGCGGGTGATTTTGAAACATTTAATAAACACCCGTGTAGTAATAAACGTGGATGATGTTGTCCCCCTTCCCGTTCCCCAAAAAAAAAAGATGATATAGTATAATATTTGGACTTCTGTACTAATTTGATAATTAATTTGACTAATGGTTGATAATTGTATAAATTAGTATGAAGTAACACAAAAATTGGGATATTAAAGTGCTTAAAAAAAATTAGATAATTTTGATGTGTTAAAATCAAAATATAAAATAGCTTTATTTTAAAGTCTGGATTATTTCCAGATTTTTTTAAAAAAAAAAAAATCAAAACTGCATGGTTTAATAATATTCCTTAAATGAAAAAATATTGTGTAAAGAAAAGTGTTTCAATATATATATTTTTCATTGTTTTTATTTATTTTATTTCCATAATGAGATGAGACGTAAAAAAGATAAACAATTATATTCAAAATAAAGTCTAAAACATGTTTAAAATACGAGCATCTCCGTGCATCGCACGGGATATGAGGTGTACATAACACTCACATTGAGTGAGACCTACAAAAAATAAAAAATTAAGTGGACCCCACTCGATGCGAGTGTTATGTACACCTTTAATTATATTTATTACATACTTGTAGCATTTTCCTAATTTCTATATAATCACAATCCTAACTTTCCATTATTTTTTGTATGTTAACAATCATATATTGGATAATTGATTTAAAAAAATAAAAATAAAAACCGTAAGGTTTAATAATATTTCTTAAATAAAAATATTTTATAAAGATAAATGTTTAATAATATATATTTTTCATTGTTTGTATTTATTTTATTTTCATAATAGACGAGATGTAAAAAATATAAATAATTATATCTAAAATAAAATCTAAAAAAAGGTTTAAATATGAGCTCATTCGCGTATCGCACGAGATATACACTAGTTTTGTAACTAAAGTGTTTGGTAATTCCTGATTTTTGTGAGGCCTGGAAGTTCCTCTCGCTTTCCCCCTTCCGAAAACCCTAATTGTCGCCGTCGATCTCCTTTTTCTCTTTCGATTTGCCTTCCCCAGCGACAATTGAGTTCGAGCCGATGGTCCTGCAGCCTAGACCCCGCTTAGGTTTCGCGCCTGCCTCGTAACTCGCAGTGGAGATTGCTTGCAATTCCATGGATGGTCTTCTGCTTCTGCACCGGTTCATGAACCCTGGTCGACGGCTTCTTGGAGTTGTAGTGGATGTAGACGGGGTGAGGCTTTGTTGGCGGGGCATGGCCTGGTCGTATGGCGTTTGGGTCGGGCGATCTGCAGCCTTCGGCCTTTCCCCCCGGTACTCTGGTGTTGGGTCAGGGAGGACCTGTGCCTCCGCCTTCCGGCCAGTGGTGTTGGCCTGTGTGGAGCAACGGTGGTGTGGAGGGCTACCGGCGACGTTCATGAGGCTTGGGGGTCGGGGATGTGGCCATGGCCTTTCTTGCTCTGTTCCCATGTTCTCTTAATTTGAGTTTAAGGGGGTGAGTCGGCTGCTATCGAACTCGCTAGTGGTGTTAGAGGGTTCGGTTCAGTGGCGTTTTTGGGGCACGATGGGTGTTGTGGCCGTGGTGCGAGTAGGCTTTGAGTGATGTTCCGGGGCTTGGATTTCAACTCAGTTAGGCAACCGAGTTGGTTTATGGGTAGTTTCGGGGTTGGTCCTCTTTGGTTGCGGGATTCACTTTGGGTCGACTTGGAATCCGCAGGCTCTGCTCGGTCTAGCTGTTTGGGAAGAGCTCATTTTGTTGCGTTTAGTTTTTGTTTTTGTTTTGTTTATTAATTTGGTTTGTTTGGTAGGTATTGTGTTTTTGGTTTGGGCCTTAGGCCTCTGTTTTCGCCCGAGTGAGACGGGTATGATCCTGTTGGGAACGATTAGTCTCCTGTTTGGG